TTGTCAAGATGCAGTAGTGGATTATTTTACTTTTTGCCACATTGTTTAGAGTTGACAGCACAGTACTAGCGACAGCATGAGCTCTGAATGTGTCCGGTTCTCAAATCAAAACTCATGGAGAAATCAGAAAATGAAAATGAAACTGAATTCTTTGTTTTATAGTTTATAAAGTGTGTATTTCATGTTTTTCTTCTGCTTCGTAGTAACTTTTGTGCATGTGAAGCACAAAAGCAGCAGCTGGTGTTGTTGGAAATGTGCTATCAAAATTAGGTTAGACTTGAGTTAGTTTTGTATGCCATCTTGTTATGAATTCTTCCCCTTCACCCAAAAACTTGCGTGGACTTGTTTGCCATCCATAACGACAATTGTAGATGTAATACTCGTGTAGGTGTCATAGCTAAGCAGACAGGAGCAAATCTGACAATATTTGAATAATCTGTTTGGTGTGTGTGCTTTGTGAGTGAACCAGGACCTGGGGCTTCACATAATAATAATAATATTAATAATCATTTTTCATTTTATTTCATGGCGCCTTTCAAAACACCCAAGGACACTTTACAATATACTAGCTACACACGCAGACATACACACACTGGTGTTTATACACTTTGGATGTTTCTTCTGGCTGGGCTGCCATCATTCTGCTCGGGTGAGTGGAGTGAGACGCCTTCAAGTCCAAATACAATCACAAGGAGCCTTTGCACGACCGTTTTTGACATATTTATCTACTAGAAACGTGGCCAATGGATCTGAGCCAAAACATAAAATCCTGCCGATGCTGTTGAAATCAAAGCATCTAGTTAAAAAAAAAAAAATCATAGTCCCGGACGCTCAGAAAATGCTGGCGATAACCCTTGTCTGCTTTACTTTACTGTCTTTGTCATTTGGTGCAATGTTGAGAAACTTCTCAAAAACAAGATGTAGGCATTTTAACAAACTGCGGAAGGACCTGATTTGAGAACTGTGTGGCGGAGAGTGGGTCACAGCAGGTGTTAACAGCCCAGTGCATTATGGGAGCTCCACTCACTGGCTTGGAGAGTATGGGAGCAATCGCACTCTGCTAAAGCCTAGCGTACATCGACAGAGAAACTGGGGACAACTAGTTGCAAGGCGGCTTTTGGCAACTGAGAGTAGATGGTGGGAGATGATCAGTTGCCAAAATCGGTCGATGTGAGCGCTCTTACAACTGGAGATGATCAGTCGGTCTCCAGTTTCAGTCAGTTGCCCGTGTTCTACTTTTCGGCAACTAGTTGTCCTCAGTTTCGGAGATATGACCCGATGTGCGCGCTCCATGCGCCGCTCCGACAACGTGTGTGTATTGCGCGCCCGCAACAGTTTATGTCAGAAAACACACTGTAGTTGAGGCCAGTTGCTGTCGATGTACGCGCTGTTATTCCCGAGACTGGTCTGCGACTGGGAGTTGCCCGTTTTCGTCAGATTGTCGATGTGTGCGGGGCAGCAACTCATATGCGACGAATATAATCAGTTGCCAGTCCGATGTACGCTAGGCTTAAGGGCTCGAAACATCGCGAAGGACACGGCTCGTCCTGCACACAGACTCTTCAGCCTCCTGCCTCCGGCCGCCGCTTCCAGCAGGGTGACAGGTGGCTTCTATCACAGGGAAGTCCCACTCCTCAACTCTCACGCTGTTAAAGCACGCTAAAGGCACTTTAGTAAATGTAACATCAAGTAAATCATGTTGATATTAGCAATTTGAGCTTTCATATCGTCTTGTATGGATACATATTTTTTGTGTTGTCAATCATTTTTGAGCTAGAAAGTAACATTTCCCGACTTGTGCTTTCGTTGGCATGTTTCCAACGATAATACAGAGACATTTGCATTTTTCCCAACGCAAAAAGTTTAAGAGGGGACACAAATATGGCGGATAGCTGGGACTGGGGTTTTTTTTGTTTACAAAGGACTTTCATAAGTGCTAACAGACACGCATAATTCTCAAGCTAATTCTCATAATTTCTGGTTACATTAGAGGAGTTTTGGCCTAGTTCATCACGTGGTTGCCTGGTCATTTTACAGTGCAGTGTGATGTCATTATTCACAACCAGGAAGTAAACGTATACATCTAAACAATATCTGTTTGCAAATAGTTTTTTGCAATTTGGATTCTTCTTTACGATGAGTCCAGCCGTCCGAACATTAGCATCACTTTGACCCGACCTGATCCATATTAAAACAAACGACAGGAGCAAAGTATAGACCTCCTTCTCGTGTCCTTGTCAATGAACTGCTTTGTGGTGAGTGCATTTCTTTATATGTGAAATAAAATCCAGCACTAATTTACTCCGACGTCTATAAAACTAATGCGTTTCCCGCTTTGCTCCGAACTCATGTCATTCTCACAGGACTTTTTTTTTCTCTACTTTCCATTTCCACATCTGGAATAGTGTGTTGTGGTTCAGACTGAAGACTTGTGTGTACACACTGTGCCTGGAGTCATTCTGAGGAAATCAAAATGCGCGAGTGGAAAGAGCGAGACCTTTCTGAAAGCTTGTGATTTGCATTATGCTAATGTGAATGTTGTTTCCAATTCAAAAGGTCAAATGATGCAAACGTGTGCAGTTGTGCCTTGTTTAGACATAAATAATTGGAGATAATGTCAAAGCCAAAGAATACAGGGTTTTTGCTTTTGATCTGAATGTGTCCCATGGCTCTTATCCTGTTTTTGAAGAACACAAAACTAAATGCAGTCTGTTTTGACAGTGGGATGATGTTTGAAAGGAAACTGAAACATGAACACATATTACAAAGATGCGTTTATCTTGATTTGACATTATTTTAACCATTAAAACAACAAGCCATTTCTCACTTGAAATAAACAAGATAATTCTGTACTTGAAACAAAGTTTGATAAGACTGAGTTGAAGTTGAAGTTGAACAGATAAAAATGCACTAACCTTTGGAGAAATACCACTGAATTCAATCTCTTTCTTTTGTGTTTGCAAATGCCAGTAATTCTCCTTTTAACATCATTCATCTGATTCAATGGCAGTTAAAGCCATTTTTCCCAGAGGTGCTGGTCCTGGACTGGTTCTGATTCTGAGCCGAGTCAGTTAGATTATGGAAGCTTTCCAACAAACTTGCTGTATTTCCAGTCTCATTAACCAGTTTTATCACCGGATAAAAGTAAAAAACCTTAAGAACTGAGGGATTTTTTTAATGCATTGGTTTGATTGGGAGCTCTGGGAGTTCTAGAATCTCCTGTATTATGAGAGTTCTAGTGGTAAACAAAAAGTCTATCCAGTTATGCTTGTTTGTAGAGGAAATAATATAATATCAGCTGGATATTTAAGTTCTTGTGATTAGCTTATTGTCTAAAACAGTATTTTCACTGTATATAGACGTTTATACTTACAATTCTAAACCCAGCACAAAGTTTTATGTGGACTCCATATAGAAGCTTCATATACAGTCCATGTGGGCGGAGACAATGCATCGAGCATATTATCAACTCCTATGTTGCACTCACTTCAGAATTGCTGTGTTTATTGGACTGGAGCCATGGGGAGAAAGTTGATTTGCTTTTACTACCAGTTTTTCTCCCTTTAATCCAAGTATATAGCTAGGGTATCATATTTTCAAACCACAAAATACAATGTATTAAAATGCATTCAAGCTCAAACCGGTGTTCTATCACTATATAATCTGTATTTTCAGCCCTTTCAGTGAAGAACAGGACCAACCTCAAGATCTCAGTAAGTAAAAGATATCTGCTTGTTGTGGTCTGGTCATTTGTTCATTTTACTTAAACGACACTCTTTCTGTTGGACAAACAACACTTATTACGATGGTAAGTTATAGTAAGATATATGATGTTGTTGTGAATGTTTATGATGCAATTATAATAAGCACCATTTGACTGCAGAATTAACTCACATACTTTATATGTGGTTACAACAAAAGGTGTCAGTCTTCCTGATCTGACGGATTCAACACACGGTAACACACGGTAACCCACGGCAACCCACAGCAATGAGTGTGTGTTGAATAATATAAAGCCCTATCATTTATTGAACTTGTCTTAAAACTTTGAAACAGTAAAAATGACATGTAAGGCCTTGCAGTAAAAAAAAAAAAAAAATTGCTGGTAAAATACGTTGAAATATTTTGAACCGTTTCAAAATGATGAAAGCTCGAAGTGTCAGACATTTCCAAACTCAGGCCGGTGGGCCAAATGTGGTCCACTGTGTCATTTTATGGAGACCTCTGCCGCTAACATAAAGTAGCAATTGAGGCACTTTGAGGTACAATGTCATCCAGGCAACTTTGGCTCCAACAAAACAATTATGCTATAACTATAAATCTCAGAACCTCTGGAATCCATTATTTACATTTACTTAGATGTGTTTTTGATGATGTCACAACATTCTATATCTGGCACTAAAGTGACGGTGGTATGAATCAAAATGCACGTTTTTCAAACCATTTTAAGCCTGGAGAAGCCTGGATGCAGTCAGACAGTTTTAGAATCCATGTTGTCGGCCCCTGGACAAGTCTGGTTAACACTACTCCCACAAGTGTTATGAAACTACTCCAACTCCCAGAGCCGTCATTTTGACTGCTCTCATTCAAACCAATGGAATTTGGAGAAATTACTACAAACATGTTTAGTTTTTTAGAACATTTTTAGAGTAGAACTTGAAATACAGCAAAAACTCCTCACATTTCAGAAGTAAAGAATAAAATAATGACAGAAAAAACTACATAAAGAGCAAAAAAGGCAAAGTTTTGAAAACCGAAAGTAACTGCACTCTTCCAAAACTAGAAGCCGTCAAATTGACTGCTCTGGGAGATTTAGCGTTAACTCAAGTGGCCTTTTTACTCAAAAGTTTGCACACCCCTTGCTTGATGTGCCATTTATTTATGTTTATTATTATGACTGTTGTATTGACTGTTTTCAATGCTTTATGCCAACTGTGCAGCGCTTTGTCAACAATGTTTTTGCAAAGTTGTATTAAGGTGTATTATTGATTATTATTCCATTACTCATACTCACATGCGACTCGGACGTGCGCTTTCCGGCTCTTGGTGGTCCCGGCCGAGCTCCAAGCCACACACTGACACCAGTAATCCTCTGGCCCAAACAGTTCCTCCACCTGCTGCCTGGAGATCTCGATACTGGCCTCCCGCACCACCAGGCCTGGACAGAGACGGACAAGCACCAGGGGAGTGAAGACCGGACATTCTACAAGGGTCTATTTTAAAACATGGCCATTTGTTTCATTGCACAAGGCCTGTCGTGTGGTGAGATGAAGGAAGGACCCAAAATGCAAGAATGCAAAAACATGATGATTTAATAAACAAAAGTCCAAGGAAAAACCAAACTCAAAAATCCAATACAGGAACCTGGACTACAGACAATCAAACAGGAGAACAGGACAGGAAGTACAACTAAAATAAAATAACAATAATAATAATAATCAATAATAAACGAATAATCCACACATGATAAGTCTGATACTCGATAATCTGGAAGAATGCATGGTTTGACCCAGAAAGGCTAACGACTAAGTTGGAGAAAGGTCTGTTTATGATGTAATAGATCAGACAATTTGAACTTATTTTAAATAATATATCAATCTTTTATTTGTCCCACCGTTGAGAAATGTCAGTGTTGCATCACCAGTTACAGAACAGTAGGAATGAGGAAGATAAATGAACAATAACTCTATACTAAACTAAAATACAATTTCTAACTTAATAAAGAAGTTTAGTATAATAAGGAGGTAAGTATAAAATCTCTAACTTAGCATAATAAAAAAGCAAGTATAAAAGGAATGAAATATGCAAGTAATATGTTTTAGCTACTTCAAGTTCAGGGGTGTTGAGAAATGATACTTGATCATAACAGTAAATCATGTACTGTTAATAATAATAATAACAATAATACATTTTATATAGGCGCTTTTCTAGCAAAAAGTGCATTTAGTTAAAATACAAATACAGTAAAAAAAAAAAAAGAATTACATGTAGATGATCAATTACATTTTTAATGGCTCATAAAGCGATTCAATACAGAATAAACCACAATTTCAAATTGAAAAAGGCTTGACTTTTACCAGGCCTACGGGAAAATAACTTGTATAGCCTTTAACACATGAGGAAAGATGCTGCTGCTTGTTTGTGACACTGGCTTTTTACTCTGACCTGTGGGGAACATGGGCCATGGTCTATCTCACATATCGTTACACACACACACAGTCCAAACATGCGTGTCCACACATACACACACTCCAAACCCACACACACACACAAACACACGTCGGCTCATGACCAACGGCAATTATAAGGAACCACATGGGCAGTGCTGTCCGCAGGTCACCACTGAGTTCAACAGAGCGGATGAACCAGTCCGCCCCCTGGAGTCCATCACGCTGCACAACAACTATTAAACTGAAAAGCATTTTTTTTTAAAGGCCTTTTTCTTGAAGACTGAAGAAAATGACAAACATTGTTTCGCTTGGAATGAAAAAGCAGCTGCAAAAGAGGCGAGTTAAACTGTATTAAACTCAAACTTCAATCCATGGTTTAGAGCAGGGGGAAAAAAAACGTTTCATTTATAAAAATAATTTGGAATATAAATGACTTGTTTCACATTAGTTAGATTGGACATTCTTGTCTGATAGAATTAGTTCAGTTTCTGTGGACTGAACCAAAACTGCACCAAATATTGAAGGTATTGACCAGAAGCATCAACGTCATCCAGTCACGTGATTGTGAATGAGCTTACGGCGGAAGTATTGGAAACTAGTATTGCTGCGAGAGCAAAACGGACTACAACTCTTAAAAACGGAGCTTCCTCTCTTAAATCGAGAAGTGGCTGCTTCAAGCACATGTTCGATTACGTTATAGGTGGAAGTAGGACATCAGGTCAGGGCTCACAAAGAGTGGTATTTGGAGAAGTTAAGGATCGCCTAACTGGATGTTGACCCGTACCTTCTCCCCCCAGCCAATTTTATTGATTAAATAAAATTTCTATTTTTGCCCAAATTCACCCTACATGATCTTAATCATTATCGTTAACAATGCATCCCCTCACACTGGAGCAGATTTATATGTACATTTTGCTGGTAGCATTAGCAATAGTCCACTTTTCTGTGGCTTTTCTGTTCACAGCCAAACATGATACGTACTGACGGAGAGGAAAATAGTGAAACACGCAATTGACTTAAAAGATAAAAATGTCAATGTTGCAGCGCACATACAGGACAGTAGTAAGAGACACGTTTGACGTGTGTCATTGTCCTCCAAATGAATGGAAATAAAATAAATACAAACTTGTGATTGCTTTATCTTGTAAAAAGTGTTATATTAGGGAGTACTTGGATGGGTCCCAGTCCTTTTGGTTGATTGCCGCTGGCCATCGTCGTCTTCTGTCTTCATGACGAGCAGGTATCAGATAAAAAAGCTTATGTCCTTGCCTGTTAGTATAATCAACCCACTGCTAAATGTCACAGTTTTGGCTGTAATGCGCTGAAACAGGTTGTTTTGGTCAAGTGTCCGTAGGCTCGCAGTTAGACTTCTGCCGTCTGTCATGGAGAGTGGGCGTGGCCGGGACGTCACATGCAAGGGGTCAATATAGGAAGATTTTCTACTTCCGGGGTGGGGTGGATCCTCAAGACGATTGGTCCTCCCAACTGTCAATCATTGTGATGATTCATGCTCGTCAAATAAGACCAGAGAGTTTTGTGGAGAGGGCGGTTCTTTCTTAAGAAAATTGGAAACCCTCCTTTATATCTTAAACAAATCTAATTGAAGACTTGTAAAAGAACATAACACAACAATACTAACTTCTAATTACATGTTGGCTTAACATATTTTATGGAATTACATTTTATGGTTGTTTTCTTAGTAATGGATAACATGCCTTTGTCGCCTATTACCATTTATGCTGCTATTTAATATAATCATTTAAAATCCTCTCAAGGGCCACTGGAAATGGTCTCGCGGGCCAGATCTGGCCCCCGGGCCTTGACTTTGACACCTGTGGTTTGGAGGACTTGCACCATCAGCTTCACTCAATTATTAAGAAAATTCCGTTTGAAATTCTATTTTTTTAACATTCTGAAACTATGAATATGAACAATTAGTAAGTAAACTTTACTTTATATAGCACATTTGAAAAAGAGAAAGTTTACTTAGGGCTATAACTCAAAATTATTATGACAATTGATAAATGAAGTGATTATTCTTTTGGGAATACAAGCAAGAGATTGTCAATTTAAATTCCTCAGGATTCTCTGCTCAGACTTTTGCCCCTGCAACCCGGAAACGGATAAAGCCGAAATAAATGGTTGGATGAATAGTTCTTTAGAAATTCGAGTCCATAGAGCTGGAAAAAAGTGCCAATAGCTAAGTTCAAGAATCTCAGGGTCTTGTTCACAAGTGAGGGAAATAGGAGCCTGAGATTGACAGTGTGCAGTGATGCGGTCGCTGTATCGGTCTGTTGTGTTGAAGAGGGAGCAGCAACTACATTCAAAGCTCTCGGTGTACCTGTCAATGTGCGTTCCCTCCCTCACCTCTGGTCATGAGCTTTGAGTAATGACCGAAAGACAAGATCGCGGATACAAGCCGTCAAAATAAGTTTTCTCTACAGAGTGACCGTGACCCTTAGCGATAGGGGGAGGAGCTTAGTCTCCCCTTAAAGAAAAACTAAATATTCCTCCTCTTGGTCTGTGAATCTGATCTTGAATGTTTTCTTTGGCATTTTCACGTTTTAGAACTTCAAATGATCTCTGTGAATAGAAAAGATATAGATTTTAAATTCCACTCAGCTCTGAATCTGGACCAACGGCAATTACCGAGCAACATGGGAAAGCAGGGTTCACGAGGCCGAATAAAGCAGTCCGCCCCCTAGAGTCCATCTCAGCACTCAGCAGCCATTTAACGCTGCAATGTATTTTCTCAAAACACTTTCTTCTAAAGACCTGTGGCCTTTTCTCACATGAAGCATCATTTATCTGCTCGTTTCTAACTTTTTAATGTCAACTTCTCGACTGTTGAATCTATAGGGTCCTTCTCTTTCCATGGTGCAAACTGTCGGGGTATAAAAGTTTAAACAGAAAAACACAAGGTGGAATAAAAAGCATTGAGACACGCACGCACACACACACACACACACACACATATAACTGTCGGTTTCAACTGTAGAAAGAAAATAATGAAGCCTCTGTGCTAAAGGAAGTGTTAGTAGCTGTTTCAGTCCTGCCATTATTAAAACCTGATGGACGAAGTTTCAGGACTCAATATAATGATAATAATAATGCATCAGTTTTATATAGCACTCAGACGCTTCACATTCCGTTATTCATTCACTCCATTCACTACTGTTGCACTATTTTTGTTATAACTCTTATAACATTAACTATATTGTTCAAAACAAATAAACAAAACTAAACACTAAGTAATTAATAGTCAAAATAAAGATCAATGTCAAAGTCATTTTCTCAGGATTAATGTTTCATTAGGGCTTGGGAGGTCAGCGACTGGTTAGGGTTAAGTTTAGGGTTTTGGTGAGGGTTAGGGTTGTTAACTTTGTTGGTGGACTCTTGGACAAACATAGTGTGGTACCACCTACATATGAAAGCCTGATCCCAGTAGACCTTAGAAGTTAAGTAGAGCCGGTCTAGATCAGAACTGTTATGGGAGACCTCTGAGAACACCAGGTGCCACAGTGGTGTAAATGATTGGTGGTGGTCTGGGAGGGTAAATGCACTGGTTTCCCCCGCTCCTGTCAGTCGGCCCTGCAGATGTGGCTACAACAGTAGTTTATCACCACTGCATAAAGTTAATAAATAATCCCATGTGAAGTGTCATTAAGTGTCCAAAAAAAAGGCGCTATAAAACCGATTATTTATTAGTTGGTGATATTAGATCACATGTGACGAGGGATCTGATTTATCATTCGTACAAAATTGTGCAGCAAATATCTCAAATCTATTTGAACGTGAAATGTGGACGGCCTCAGACACAGATTGTGTGTTTGTGGTCTGAGGCAGAGAAAGGTGTTTGAGGATGTGTGGGTTTGTGAAGTTTGACTATATGAAAAAAATAGAATAATGTGGGCACTGTTTAATAACTACAATGTACAAAGTTTTCCATATATCGCACTAATGAAGAAAATACTTGCCTCTCCAAGTA